ATATATTTCAGTTCTTTTTAATGACGTCTTTACCAAAATATTGCCTCCATATTTTCTACAACATAATAACAACTTTCTGTGAAAAAAAAATCATGATTAAGAAAATTTAGAAATATCGCAGGGTTTTGTGGTTTCTGACTGACCAAAGAAGAAAAAAACACAACTTACCATTCTTGAAAATTCCAAAGGTCTGTGTACAAGGTTTGTTGAAACTATTAATCCAAGTAAATTGTCTAAATTTAATTCTAAGTCAAAAAAGATATAATTAAGTGAAGAAACATTAAGGAGAGAGAAAAGATTAAGACTTTAGAATATTTTATGTTGAAATATAATGCTCACAATTCTCCCTCGTCAGTTAAAAAAAAGAAAGAAAGAAAGAAAAAAGATAACTAGTGAATTGTTATGGAACCACTTCTAATTTTTATGGAGTAAAACTTTATTTGCAAACTTCCTCAGAAGTGTCCATGAACTTTTTCTTTTAAGTAAATTCCTTGAAACCTTGTTAAAAAACCTCCACAAAATATGAATAAAACTTGTATTTTGAAAACTATATGACTTAAGAAATACCTATAAATTTATGTAAACAAAAATTTCATTTTAAAAATTCATTTGAATTTTTGAATACTTCCTATAGCACTTTAAAATTTAATGGTTTCAGTAAATTAGGGAATCTATTAATATTCCCTGTTATAAGTATACCATGTCATAACATATACAATTTTCCAAGGTGAAATAATAAAAGGATCTTTTAGGGAATAAAGCATTCCTTTAAAGACTAGCCTTTTAACAGTGAAATAAAACAAGTGCATCTGCAATAATTTCACTAATATGGTCAACCACTGACATCTATTGGCAAAAACAAGCAGACAAGGTTTAGTTTGCTTATAAAAGCAGATATGATTTTTTTAATGACTCTAGTTTGAATATCATAAGTTTATTAGAAACCAATATTTAGCTATAGTTTTGGTTGAAATACATAAGAATCTTAACTATTTAAAACATAGAGACCTAAATACTGAAGGTAAGTGTTTGAAGTAGCCTAAATATATTTTGCTTTATATGAAGAATGCAGATTAGAAAGTCAATCTTATTGTTATAAAAAGATTAATACACATTCAGTTTTAGAAAAAGTTTCAAGTTTTGAGTATATTTTTATTTGCCAAAATGTTAATTTTACTCAGAAAATATATAGCATTCTTAACCTTTAAAAAAAAGGAAAGATATCCTACATTTTCAAGTAAAATGAGATCATAGACCTTTTCGTTTCTCTTGTGCACATTTGTGTGCTCTTTATTCTCTTTACTACATCTTTTTCTCTACGTTTCGTCTCTCACTAAGTACTACTTTCTTGACTTTTGGCCAGAGACTTCCCCTCCCCACAGTTTAATATCTCTACATGCCATAAACTGTGTTGAGTACTATGATAGAAAAGGAAAACCACACAGACTAAATCCCAGTTTATGTGGGACTTGAGATAAAATAGAAAAAGAAATCAACGGTGCAATATGATAGATGATAATGTGTTACTACGTTATGGATAAAGCATAGGTGCAAAGAAGGACAAAGGTGATTAGAGGGGAGAGGCTGCCATGTGTTAACAATGTCCTCCATGGTGGTTGGGGGAGGCTGTCAGTCACGGGAATGGAGGGTTAGGAATATTCAGAAAGAAGGAAAAAAGAGTTAGTGTGAAGATGCTGAGAAAGAAGGATGTTTGGAAAGGGAAAAGCAGACCAGTGTTGCTGGGAGCAGCAAGCAAAACCTTGTGTAAGTGGTGACAGGGGCCAAATTCTACAGGGAGGTTTGGGTCACACAAAGACATTTTCTAACTAAGTGAGGTGGGAAACCATAGGGAGGTGTGAGTTGAAGAATGACACAATCTGACATCTTACAAGAACCACCCAAGTTGCCACATTGGTAATGGAACATGGAGGTAAAAGCCAAAGAACTCAGAGTCAACTATAGTAATCCAGGGGACATGATAATGGGGATGAAGATAAGCAAATAAAGATACGGCAAAGGGTACTTTTGGAAAGAAAAATCAAAATGATTTAATAACTGAATGGAACAGACATGTGAGAGGAAAAAATTTAAAAGGAATAGCCTCTAAATAAAGCAAAATTACTCTCCTGCTAGTATCAGAAAAAAAAAAATTCTTATGGAAGTGGCCAGAGATTATTTTTTATTTGTATTTAAATATGTGGAACTATGGTCTAATAAAAGAATCTGACAACATTCTGAACTCAAAAGCATTGAATTTCCCCTTTCATAAGATTCCCACAGTGATGATAGCTACAAATAAGAAAATCTATTATTATCTTCATAAGTATATTTCAGACACATAACAATATACATGATTTCTATTTATCATAGCACTATACTATTTAATTGTTCCCTGTGAGCACTGAATAAATTTGTTTTCAGAATCTCTTCCTCAAATCATAAGACATTAATTATTATATCTCTTCCATTCAACTATCAAAAGTATATCTAAATTTATGTCATTAAGTGAGTATAGACCTTCAATAGTAACACATTTCAGTAGTGGATAGTTGATTTCTTTCAAAATCATTCTGTTGGCCAAGTTACCCGACAGCTACCTCTGCATCAATTATGAGATCCAGACATGTAATCAGAAGCTCCATATGAGACTCTCTGGGTGGCACATTCTAATTTCCTTGTTCTTCCTCCAATTCTGTTTATGTACCTAAAATTGGTCATAAATCGTTTTGTAAGCTATTACTCTATCCACTACATGTAAATCTTTTAAAGAAGTTCTAAGATAATTCAATCCTCTAAAAATATTTCCCAAAATATTTTGGCAAATTATTTCATTTGAACACCCACTTTACTGTTTCTATTTTACACTTTCTTTTATGTTATTATTTCCTTAGACATATATCCCAAATTCATTCTTGGCTCTTCTTGACCACTATTTTATTTCTACCTTTATGTGCTTCAATTATTCAATCCTAAGTACAGTTATCTTCGAAGTAAAATCATTTTTAAAATCCTTATTTTTACAAAGCAACCCAAGGAAAGATAGTTCTGTCTAAAACTGTGCTGTGCGTAGTCTTCTAAGCAGCTTTAACATTTTCTTTCTTTTCCTTTCTTGTTTCTGACTTTCCATTTTCAATATCCTCTCTGCCTCTCACTGGATTGTGAATGTGCCCTTTCCCTATGTCTGAAAATCTTTCAACCTTCACCATTCATTCTAAGAATCAGCAATACGTTATGTTTTTATAGAACCTTTCTTCCAGGGAACAGAGAGTGTTTCATATATATTACCACATTCATCCTTAAAATTTCTCTCCCAACACTCATAGCCCTGGCTAAACTATGCCTCTGCTGAAACCTCAATCCGTATCTTTAGTTCCTCCTTCCTTCACTGCCTTTCCTATAAACTCTGTAAATCACATTTTCAGAATCTTGCATCTGTAGAAAATATGCATAATTCTATCACTCAAGTGACCTTTCTTTCTAACCCCGTGCTGAGAATTCACCATCTCTATTTCAAAACTTTGCCAGACTACCTGGTGGCATTAAGTTGCTAAAATCTTGCTATTTCTCTTCCTTCCTCCCTTTATGACAGTGAAGCGATCTGACTTGGAAATATGTTGTGAGTACTGCAATTGTTTTTAACTGGGTTACATACATTTGCTCTAAATTATATGTGTATCCCTTTTTAATGTATTTTAACTTTTCACTAATTAAAAATAACATTCTATTTGAATTTTATATTCATATTGAATTTGTTTTAAAATACTCTTCCCCTAGCAAAAATAGGTAATATTTGTTAGTACTTCCATGATATAGCAATCAGTTTGATAAATGCTCAAGTGGATTATCTCATTTATTCCTAATTATAACCGTAAGAGCTCAGTCCTATTTTTTACATAATCCAGGCAGAAAAATAAATGTCCTCAAAGGTTACATAAATATTTCAAGGATATACAAGTAAGTCACTGACCATGGATTGGACTGAAGTAGTCAAAACTTACCCCTATTTATCCGTCTGTTTTCTCTAACCAATTACCTTAGACTGAATGTTAAAGAAAAAAAAAAGCAATAATCATTTTCACAGAATTCATCAATCGTCTATAAAATAAAACTATTCGATATTTGGGAGATTCATTCCAGGTTTGAACTGGTTCCAAATATTAATCTAAAATCTGGCTACTTAGATAAGTTTACTAGTAATCAAACATAAATGCATTGCCAGATTTAAAATTAAGTCATTATCTTTAATAGAACTTAAAATTATTCATCACTTTCAATATGCATTTTAAATGAAATTAAAACAAATAGAGAGAGCTCAAAAGGAAAGAGCTGTGATCCTATAGAGAATTTGTCTTGTTTTCTATTTTTTTTTTTAACCTGAGCTATCCAGTCCCTCATTTTGTATTGTTGTTTATAGTTTTTCTACATTCTTCAGTAGGATGGACATTACAGATGATTCCAGTGCAACAACTGATAGTTCATTGATATAAGAAAAATTCGAGTGATTTGGGCCATCTATAGCGCTTGTCTCTTCCTCATTCATCCTTTCAAGTATCTGCAATTAGACTCAGGTCTTTAAAAAAAAATAGTGTACTTTAACAATTTCCCTTCAACCTTGACTTAATAAAGATGTTGTTTATGCATTAAAAGTTATTTCTTAAATAGATAAAATTGCATAATAATACGCAGCTTTTCAGCATTTTCTTCCAGATAAACTGAGTCTTAGAAACTAAAAGCAATGAGCCATGCAAATGTAAAATAAAAGATGAATTTCCTATGCAAACATTTATACCATATGAAAGTCATGCAAATGCTTCCTTGAGGAAAAAAAAATGGCATGTCATTATTTTTCTCAAATTGAGCTCTTTCGTCAGAGGACAATTGCAAAGTAAAGATTTACATATTTTTGACTGAAAAAAATTTACATATCACATGGTGATTTTACAGTGTGAAGACTTCAGCATACTAAAACACATACAGGCCCTAGACCATTTTCTAAAAAGAGACTCAGAGAGTAGAGGTTATGGTTGAATCTGATTTTCTACAACTTGATCAAAACACCATCAAAATCTTTCAAATTAAAACTAACTAAAATCTAAGCATCTTGAGTATGGAATGGATTCGATGGTGTTTAGATATTAAACTTGACCTCAAAAATAATGCAGTTATATGAAGATTGTGTAGAAAAGAAACATTTGGTAGGGAGCATGTTAATATAGAAAAACTATTGCTCGGGGAAAAAAAATCATCTAAAAGAAGGACAAATTCTCCCATCCATCCAGTCAACAAAGAAGACATCAAAAGAGCAAGAAGGAAAGTAACTCCCCCTGAACTGCATTTGTGAGTATAAAGAGATTTAAAGTTTGCTATATAGATGAACTTGAGATAAAGGTTAAAATAATGACATGTGTAAATAAAAATGCCAAATATTAGATTCTATTCATCAAACTTAGTAAGTTTAGAATAACAAAAAGAAAAAAATACTAGCTATTCACTAGGTAAGATTTGCACAAAATAATAGATTGTCATAGATTGTCAGAGAACTGAGACTCTTCCAAGTAGTATGATTCAAATTTATATAAAACATGAACAAAGAAGATCAGACTCCACAGGAGTTAAAAAAAAAAATAAGACATAGGATCATGGAACTGACAGAGTTTTAGAGCTAGAAGAAATGTAAAAAAGAGAAAAATAAAAGTAAAACAACAACAACAACAAAAAATCACTTCTATATCTTTTTTGAAAAGCAACTAGAAAAAGGTAATAATAAGACAGAATTCAAGGACAAAGTTAGTAGGTGGTCAATTTCCAACCCTAAAATAATGAATCATATAAAGAAAATATCAGAAAGATGTTATATATACCCTACAAAATCACATTTAATATAAAAGTTCTCTCTCTATACACACACACACACACACACACACACACACATATATTTCAAATATTTCAAATAACTTGGGCATAACATGAGAGTATAAATTCAGTATTTCTATAGAGTTTAAAGTTTTATATATATATATATATATAAACATATATATATGAACATTACTTTTACTAGTCTTCCAATTTAATTTTTAAAAATAATTTTGAAAAATGTATCTTTATATCACCTTAAATGAAACTGCAAATCCTGCAGAATCTAAAGTTCTTTAAAAATGGTTTATATGTTTTTAATTTGCAACTTAATAAGATTTTGGTAGTCAACATGGGCATTTTGATTAAAGATGAAGTGTGGTTAACTCATTATTCACTAGTACATTATCATAGTAGTATAAATGTACATACCATTACATAATAGTACTTTACAACACGCCCTAAAATTTATGACAAATGCTGACAACTCTTTCCCCTTCTGGAAAAAATGTTTATCTTCATGCCATCCTAAATAAAATTGCAACTTCTATAAAATTTTAAGTTCTTTAAAAATGGCTTATAGGTTTTTGAGATATTGCATTATCTTTAAAAGCTAGTCATTAAAATTAGACATGTAAAGTGTCCCTTTGGGTTTGTTAATGGGACACTACAATTTTGCATTTGATTTGAAAATAAATCAAGCAGCCACATTCTCAAAGTAGCATTCTCAAAGTAGCACTATTAATTACTTCTGCTAATTGCCTCTGAGCAATTGGGACAGGAGTAAAACAATCTCCTCTGTGGTTTGCAGAGGGACATCACAGGATCTCACCCCAGCAGTCTGCCCTTTCCTTCCCACTCTCTGGGCTAGACCCTGACCCTCCCAGAACTGTAAAATCTGTCAGAATTTCAGTTGAGCACAGCTCTCCTTTTTGGCCCTTCTGTAACATTGCTCTCTCCCAAGATTTATCTTGTGGCAGAAATACAGGGAGAAAAAATGTATCTACTGGAGACCCTCCTGGGTGAAATATAATTTACTTCCCAATTTTGGCTTAGTTACTTTATCTTCATTGATGGGTTTTATGGTTCAGGAGCCATTCTAGTACTTAAACTGATATTGATTCATCATCCTACTCACCACTGCTCAAGCATAGAAAAATTATCTATTCAAAGAATATGGAGTTTTTTATTCAACAATTTTTTAGAAGTGGTTCTTCCAAGAAATATTGCAAATCCTTAATAATTTCATGTCACAATCATCATAAAGAGCTGCTGGTCATTTTCACTTAGAGGTAAATGGAAGACAGAAATAATTCTTTACATAGACATGTGTCCATCTCTGCACCAGTAAACAGAAGGGAGGGCAGGGTTCAAACAGCTCTAAGAATGCAACAAGCTTTTTAATGTGAGAACCCATTCAAAATTTTTTTTATCAATTTCATTTCAAAATGTTTATCTTCTAGGAAAGCTAATCTCCAATTCATACATGAAATACAGATCACATAAAAATATGTATTTTCTACTTTAACTGTCATAGGTTATTAAACACTATGAAAATACATAGAAATTAGTATTTAGGAAGAATTTCTCCTGGATCTTTGCTGAAGCTATGCAGACAATTTTCCAAAATTAGATAAACATCAGGGTAATCAAGCGATCTCACCTCCATTTTATTTTTTTTAAATCAGTCCATTAAGGATGACCAGTATTAAGTAAACTTCTGATTCTGATTCTGCCACAGTTAACAGATATGATAACTCAGGCTACTTTTATGATTTGCTAGAAAGGGGTCATTTTAGCCCTTTCATATGTAGTTAACTAATGAATACCAAACTTTTGCTATTATGCTTGGCACCTAGTAGACAGTTCATAAGTATTAGTTTCTTTCCATTTCAGTTTTGACCAGAACTATATAAAATAGTGTTTTTAGCTCTTCATTTTATAGCATGTGCCTCATCTTAAGGCAAATAGAGTTTAGATTGTTTCAGTCACTGAATTATTCTGTTTAAGCTATGTACAAAGGTCAAAGCTGGGGCTAGAGTCATCCTTCTGGATAGAACTGTGTGGAATATAACACAACAGAGCAGCACACTGTGAGGATTTAAAGTGTGGTGGAATCTAGCAACAGACTGCATCTCAGCCATGCGATTCTGTTAAGATTACTCAACTCTCCATGCCTCATTTTCCTCATCTAAAAAATGGTGATAAAGGGCAGCTGGAGGATCAGGCTTCATTGAATATACCTTACCACTTGTTGCTGGGAGGTAAAGTGTTTGGTTATAGGAAAAGAATGATGGGTACACAATGAAGCATATTATAACAATTATAAGTAAAAGACACATAGCAACATGAATAAATCTTTTTTTAAAAAAAAGCACAGTGCTGAATGAAAGACATTAAGAAGCAGAATGAAATATATAAGGCTATTTTAGTTAAGATACATGCATACAAAATAGCAATATCCATTTTCCAAAATATACGCACATAAGATGTTCTACATAACAATGATTGCATGGGAGACTGAGAATCAGAGCACCCCTCAGAGAAGCAACTCAGACAATTAAAATGTAAAGGCAACTACTTGTGAGAGAGGGTTGTAACAGTGCTCCATGCTTTTTTGATAAGAAAACATGCATTCCAAAGCACGGCCACCAATGATGGGTTAAACCACTTTAGAACATGACTTTCATTATTTACCATGTTATAAATGTAGTTTGCTGCTACTCCACTTGCAGTTTCAGGAAAAAAAAAAGGATAGAAAATAACATGAGATGCCAAAAAGCAAATTCAGAATTACCTATTTGACTAAAAATATTGAAAATTTCTTTTTTCAGCTTGACTGACTTTTTAATCACTTCTACACCTTTAAATCTGGCCAAGTAAAAGAAATCATAAAGACTAACTATAATGTTTAAGGATTTACAAAGATTTTCATCTCCATGTTATTTATAGCTCCTGCAATTAGCATATTTTCAAAGAATAGACTGTACAACAGGTTATGTTATCCTGACTTTCTGCCTTTAATTCATCTAATCAAATATGTTTTTTAGTGTAAGTCACACATTAACAAAGGAAAATCCTAATATTTAAATTCTAAAACTAAAGCTATACATCTTGAAAATATATTTATTAAATTTTATTAATGAAATCAAGTCAAAATTCACAGCAATATTATTTTATTACATAAAATTTAGATTTCTATTCAGTCTGATTTCTCTACTAAACACTTAGAAGATGAAAGAACAATATACTTTGATTTTTTGGAAGAAATAAAATCTTTAAAACTATCCATCAACTAATGAAACCACCAATTTAATTACCTTTCCTGTTCTTCAGAATATAAAATGATCTAATTTATAATGAGTGTTATGACAAGTGCCTAATAAACTTATAATGATTTGACATCAGGGTTGAATTTTCATTGGAAATAGAGAAAAGTTTTATGATTCGGGGATTTTCTAATCCCCTGGCATATTGATGAAATGCAACTCATATAAAATCATCCTGATCCTTGTTGTTTTCCAATTATAACTTTAGGCACTAAGCACTAAAAAAAAAAGAAAACCTAATAAATGAGAAAGTTATTGACACTTTATAAAAATTAACAAATCCTTATTGATTTAATTTTATGACTTTTTGGATTGCTTTTATATAATTTATTTGCGTATCCATGCATAATGTGAACATGATGATAAGTTAAAAGATACACTACAGGGATGTAAAGCTGCTATATATCAAACTACTTTCTTGTGAATCCTACATACACACAAGAAGAGCTCTGATTTGAAAATAATGTGATTTTTTAATATGGTTTTCACTTTCAATACTTGAATAGTTTTTTATTTACATTATATCAAAATGGGAAATTTGACTAAAAACAGTGGCCAAAAGCATAAACATGCACTCAAACACACACACACACACACACACACACACACACACATTACAGCATGCAAATCTTTTGTACATCTCATTTTTAAATGGGATGTAATGCATATTTTTCTTATAATGTCCTTCTAACTACACAATATGTTCCCAGGAAATTAGAAGTGGAGCAACTAATCCAATATCCTGTCCTTGCTGGGGACTGCAGGTGATACTTCCAGAGAAGTTGACAAATACACAGACTTTTCCCTAGGGTCCTCCGTAGAAGACTTAGCCAGAAAGTTATATTTGCCCCTTAGAACCTGAGAAGATCTGTTTAAATATAGAAGCATGACATTCAAATGCCTAAGGCTGACTATAGATTTTATATCAGCAGAAAAACACTCTACAGTGGCAAGGCAGTGATCAAACGAATTGCTCCAAACCTCAGAGCATCTGTTTCCATTCCCAGACCAATAGGTCCTTCTATTGTCACATGAAGGACCCCTTAGGAAGGATTTGTAAATTCATACTTCCGGCCAATGGCACATGTTTTTAATTTTTCCCCAATTATTTTCCCATTCTGAGTTGTACTCATAGTGATTCAAGCATTCTCTGTG